TGCGTCTGTAATGGTGTGCGGGAGCAGCGATGGTAGTTTTAAACAATGCCGAAGCATCGTTTATTTCCGGGAGCCTTGAAGTGTTTGGAAGACGTGCATCCTACTTGTTTGCGGATCTCTAAAAATAAATATTACGAGTACGCTCTTCAATTGAAAAGAATGCAATTCGCGTTTAGTATCAATCGATGATTCGCAATAGCGCGATGTTTTATTGAGAAAAAAAGAATTTATGAGCGGATATAATTTAGTAATGATAAGCTTGCAAATGTCACATAAGAGACATAACCTCTGATTAATTTGTCGCCTGGCGCTAAATTTAATCTTTTTTTTTATATACACTATCATGTAATTACCGAGTCGATTCACGAATCGATGTTCCGTAGTGACGTCAATCAATATATAATAATTATTGATTTGCGCCATAGTTATATTCAATATGAATATGCGCCTGATTTTCATATATACGTATAAACGCATATTATATATATATATATATATATTATTAAATGTAATATTAAATTTTTATATTAGCTAAAATTATAGTAATTGACTAAACATGGTACAATGTTTAAATAAGGAATAGTTACCAGAGGGGTGCAATAGAAGAAAGCATTTTGTCAATTTAACAAGCCACCAATACTTTTAATAAATGATTTGTTCTACAGTGACAACAACTTAATTTGTTGTGATTGATGCTAGTCCAACCCAGTTAGATTGATCTGCCAACCAATTATTAGTAATAGAATTTATGTAAAATATAATCTATTTTTTGATAGATTTTTATTTGCTAGCAATATTGATTATTTTAATTTGTATCGTAAATTGTGTATTAGGTATTTGTTGTGTATCATTATCGAATAATGAGAAATTATTCACAATAGTAACTGCTTGATCCATTTTTCTACCAAACCATCATATTTGTTATCCCTTTTTTTATTCTTATAATAAACTTATTTCTCTGTGTACTTTTTATATCCTAGGTAAAAAGATGTTAATTGCTGAAATGCAAAATATTATTAAATTATTGAATAATGATATACAATACAGTAGGACCTCTTTATAGTCCACCTTTTTATAGTTACGACCTCCCAGTAATCCACAGTCGATGTCCGTATAAGTACACGTTTTTAACCATATGACGCGTATTCATGACAACTGCTTGCGTACTTAGACTCGTATCTAACGCTCAATTGCGTGAGAATAGCTTATATTAATTATTTTGCATAGTTGTTAGTTACTGTTTTTTTTAAGTGTAAATATGAGTCAAAAGAGAAAGTGTATAACAATAAGCAACAAGCAACAGATAATTGAGGTGATTGCTTCCGTATCAAAAATTAAATATGTGGCAAAAAATACGATATCTCGTAAAGTTGTGTGTCCAAAATAAAAAAACAAAAAGATCATATATATTGTTTCCTTTAGCAAATCCGTGCACAGTTAAAAAAAATATGTGAGATGAGACGTCCAACGAATCTGGATGCAGTCCTTTTACACATAGTTTTGTCATCAAAAAAGATCATGACAACCAATTAGCGGACCATTTTTACGTGAAAAAGCTCAGGATCGAAATTAATAAAATATTAGATGGACTTGCATCTTTCACGGCAATTATTTTTTAGCATTTCATTCTTAACACACATTTGGACGTCGTGCTTTGTACGTTCTCATTATGTTCTAATCAAAATTTAGTTGTTCGAATAACACAATTTTCAAGTATAAGGTAAGAAAGCTTTTGTTAGTCACTTCTCAACAAAATAAATAGTTATCAAAACATTTCTCTCAGCGAGTGCTACATATGTGCTTAAGAAGGCTACTTACGGTCCTGATGGGGCGGAGCGAAGGTAACCTCTTTATTGTCACATTTGATCCCGAGCATGTGACTATAAAGAAGTCCTACTGTATGTTGTTAATAATAGTAATTTTGATTAGCGTGTAAAGCGCCGCAAAGAGATGATCGTTTATGCATAAGAAAAATAAGATATAACTACACCCGGGTTAAGGGAACGCTCATTTCGTATTTCTTATGCCATTTCATTTTCCTTACACAGAATAAAAATTTCTTCTCCAGCATAAAAGAAAAAACACAAATAAATGCGGAAAAGTACAAACCGGTACGAGAATCCTCCAAAAATTGTCAAATACAGTTCTCCGATATCATGTAGGTTTTCTTTCTTCACATATCTATATATATAAACGAATACAAACATATATCTAAACAAAAAATACTTTCCTATATTTGATATTTTATAAGAGTATCATAAGACCTTCAAATTATGATTTTGAAGCTTACAAGAGAGAAATGGCATGAGAAATACGATCCGAGTGTATATAACCTCACATTCAAGCGATATATAAGATATAGCAAAACAAGAAATTTACGTAACATTTTACTTAATGGCTTATTTAATGTACGTAATATTTTACTTAATGTATGTAAATATTCTCTTGATGTATATAATATTTTAATTGGAATTAAAAATCTGTTTTATCGACATTGATTAACAATAAGTCGACCGACTCTCCAGCATCGCTATAAGCAATAAAATTGACAGTCATAATTTTTTTCATTATCACACAATTATTCATTTTTTTCGATAATATTATACGAAACAGTTTCTTTTTTCATTGTGAGTACTGTGTAGTAAACAATTGAAAGGGTCTACGCGAGGATGTTACGTTCTTTGTTTCTGTGGCGAGTAATTATTACGATGTTGCGACTCTTACGAAGTTACGGAGATACGCAATTTCTATAGTGGAGGCGAAAATTCTTCATGGAAATGCTGGCCTGTAATCAACTGTTACACTGCCGCGGAGTATTAAGTGTCGACTTTTACACGAATTTCTTAATCCCCTAGCAATCGCTTCGATTTGTGCATTATATTATTATCTATTTTGATAAATCTTTTTAATCATAATTTGATTTCGCTTGCTTTTTGCAATGCAAAATATAAAGAAAAATGGTCTAAATCGAGCGGTAATAAGGTTATAATAAATTTCTATAAGTTTACAATATCAGTATAAAGAAGAAAAAACAATATCGAACGTTTCGAAACTCACAGGTCCTTTTTCAGCGATTCTTACAGATGTTCCTTTGTCGTTGAAATAATGCATTATTATCTTGCGGTCAAAAAGATGTGGAACTGTGCTATGGTATAATAAAAAATTGTTTAAAAAGATTGATCCTCCTGTTTTGTATGTAAGTGTGGAATTTGTGTAATAAAATACATGGAACAGGAGCATCATTTATACACATTCGTCTGATTTTGTTGAATGCAAATATTACAATCAATTTCTGTATATTGATATTGTAAACTTATAGAAATTTATTAAAACCTCATTACCGCTTGATTTAGACCGTTTTTCTTTATATATATTTCTAATCATTGTGAAAATTTTTGTCGTGCTAATCCGTTTAGTAAGCAGTGTTATGACAAACAGTAATAAAAATAAATGGTACACAGTTATACGCACGCATGCACGCGCGCGCCCCCACACACAGTCTATCGTAGATTAACTTTAGATTAGAATTATTAGAAGATACTAATAATTTCAATTATTAGTATCATCTAATTAAGTATACTAATTAGATCGTAGAATTATCAGAGAATACTAATTATAGATTTGCGAGAACTTATAATTCATACAAATATGTAGTCACAATGCGATAGAAACGATGTAGAATTCGATGCTTCCCATAAATATTAGTTAAATAAAGCGGTTTCATTTCGATTGGTCAAGTTTCAGTGGACATCTCTGCAATATTTGTTCATAGTAACTCCAATACGAGACACATGCACCACTGAGAGATTCATGTAATGTAATGCTCAATTTTTATCGATCTTTCGAAAGCGAGGAATCAAAGAATTTTTGCGCTCTCCTCGCGTTCGGAAGATCGATAGAATTCACAAGAGGAGGAGCGTCTCATTGTCAGTCAAATCGCATTTTCCATGGTGGTTTTTTTGGACCCGTTGCCGCGAGAAATTGCTTAATGAAACTGCCGCGGCTCGGCACCGCCTGAAAGGAAGGTAGAAACGTTGCAGTGGGTCAAGGAGAGACTTCGGCTTTCACTTCCTCTCGGCAGCCAACGCGAGTTCCTCGAGAACGCCTCCCGAGCCACGACTTTTTTTCCCTTCTCCTTCTGTCGTTCCTCTCCTTGTGAGAATATTTATCCGCCTATGACTACGTTTAATTAAACGTATAATTATACCGGGGAGAAGATATGTATGTTTATCTTCTGTTCTGACGGATGAACTGAATTCAGCAATTAATGATTGAACAACGCGTAGTGCAATACGAATCATAACAAGTGACTTATCTCGGAACGTTATTTTTCATTAATGAGAAATCGATGTTTTATTCTACGACAAAGTCTATATAATTCACGCTTGCATGAATGTACTGGTGGCAAGCGAATGAAAACGCACACTATATTGTATTAATTTCTAAAGTAACAACAATTCGTTATTAGCATTATTTTTTATTATATAGGATACTATCTGACGCATTCCACTATACGGTGAATGTCAAGTAAAATTATCGTTTGAAATTCTTTGTAATGTATCAATATATTTGATAAACAGATTAAACTAGGACGAGAGAGTAGAAAAATTAGAAACGTAAGGATAAAGTAAGGACTTTGTTTAATAAATTTATTTGCAATTTCAGTATAAGTTAAAAAATGATTTTCAACTTTGAAATACACGTGTATCAACTTTGTTTTTATATTCGCACTAATTTCTAATATTCTATTTTTTTATATTTTTTAATGCACCTAATAAAAAAAACACACGCAATTTTGTTTCCTTATATTTATTGCTTGACCTGAAAGTTTAGAAAAATTAGTTTGCTTCTTATTCCTATCTCTATTACACAATTTTCGACATTTTATTTCTTTTATCATTCACTCACAATATAATTTGTCTAATATTTTTGTATAATATCAAGCTAAGCAAGATTAATATCATTTATCTAAACGATGCTTCTTGTTATCTTTGTTACAGTGGATACCAGAGAAGTCCAACCGCACGATCCGAGTGAGAAAGAACAGCTTAGCCTCGCAAGTGTAAAAGTGGAGCCGGGTTCCACCAGCGCGACGACTACCAGTAGCACAGGGACCCGTCTACTCCACGGTATCCTCTCTCAGCATCCCCAGCAGCATAGCCTAGGGCTGCAAAACGGATATGGCCGCCACTTAGTCGGTCACGCACAGATCGGCCAACCGCCTTATACCACTGCCGCTATCGCCACGACGAGTACGCCAGGTAAAGCCTTGAAAGACATATCAACGAGGCTTTATAAAGATGCTGTTGAGATTTGATTGAGGGTCATAGTCTTTAATAATTTTTGGCAATAGATTAGCTAATGTGACACTTCGATAACAATTTTAAGTTTTTTTTTTTTTTAGTTTTGTAATATGAGATTTTTAGAATAAAACATATCGTTCTTTTATTTTATAAATGACGCAACTAGGAAAATGTAGTTTTCGAGTTATTACCTTGAATGAGTTAAGTAAAGATTACTTTATCAATTGTCAAAAGTGAATTAATAACTTTAACTTTAGTTTATCCACCAAATACATACTCGGCATCGTGCTGCAAATTTTCAAAGAATTGTAATACTTAGCCACAAAAATAACACATTTTGCGTGCTGCTTTTTTGTAAATAAAAAGAAATCTTTTACAAAAATACATTTATAGCGTTTTCAATCAGATTAACAACATCACAGATTCTATTTTGACCTTTGATTTGACGGGATCATGGTAACATTTCATGTGTTAATCGACTTGAGTTGAAACCCACTACAATCGAAAACATTATTAGAGTTAAGACATCCTGATAGCAAAACCTGCGGAAACAGATTTGGAGCAGAACCTGCTGACAATGTTCGATTGCAAATTGGCAACAAATTGTAGACAGAGTCTGTATTGTCAGCAAACTCTGTTCGGTTTTTCCTACCAATCTGCTGACATGCTGTCAACGTCTGCTGACAAAAACATGTCAGCAGACGTTGACAGCAGTTTGGCAGCAGTTTATTACCCTGATAGCAAAATGATGCCAATTTGCGCGCAAATTGGCGGCAAACTCGATCAGATCTTGACTACAAAACCGTAGCCATCTGCGTCCGCATTTGGCTATGGATTTGGCGACAACATTTGCTGACATGTTTTGCAGCAGATTGGTGACAAAAACCGAGCAGAGTCTGCCGACATGATCTGACAGCAGATTGGTAGCAAAAACCGACCAGAGTCTGCTGACAATATTTGGTAATACGCAGACTCTGTCTACAATTTGTTGCCTTTCTGCAATCAGAAATTGTCAACAAACTCTGCTCGGTTTTTGCAACCAATCTGCTGCAAAACATGTCACTGTCAGCAAATGTTGTCGCCAAATCCATAGCCAAATGCGGACGCAGATGGCTACGGTTTTGTAGTCGGTTTTGCTATCAGGGCAGTTTTGTTGTTCCAAGTTTGAAGAAGAAATTGGTTTATTTTGAATTTAGTCAGAAATTTCAACCGATATTGTAAGTTATGTCACTTTTGATGAATTATTTCGGATTTGTTGTAATTTTGTAAGATATCAAAATCGTCACACAACTCAAAAGGGTTGTAAAATGAAAACCACATTCAATGATGTTTCTAAGAATACATCTTTTTGTCGATATTATTTGATTATAGTCAATAATTTTAGTAAAAAAAAAAAAAAAAAAAATACTTTTTATCCTTGTTTGAAAAACTTAATTTTTTTTTAGTTGTGTCAATTTTGAAGTGGGAGAACAATATGTATCAGATAGAAAAGGAAAATAAGGAAATCTGAAAATTGTGTGTTAATATATTTTTAGTGGAATTTAATATTTATATGCATAATGAAGAAAGAGAAGTATCTAAAGTCAAAAAATAGAAATAAAGTAGAAGGACAGATAAATATAATATTTCATGTCAATAAGAATTTTTAATAGAAGGATTATTTTATCATTTTATAATATATATACTTACATATATATAAGGTGATAAAATAATAAAAAAATATAGCATTAAAATAATAATATTAAGATATGAAGTATTAAAGTATAATAGAAAAAGAAAGAAAGTAAAATAAATATATCGTAAAAAAGTTTAAAATGTTTGTTGACATTTGTCCGTTGTAACCGCAATATTGTATCTTCAATTAAAGCAAGTTATTTAAAAAAAAAATCAATTTTATAATAATTACGAGAAGGACATACATCAAAATCGTATTTATGTTTCTTTATCTGACTTCTACATTAATTTAATCGTTTGTAAGCTTTTGTTAGACATTCTCTCTTGAAATACGTGATATGTTAAATAATGCTAATTTCATAGATATGTTGTATTATGAGATATTAACAGAGACGTAATGACCACGAACGAGATTGACATTTTCCGGATAAAATAAGATATCAATTTTCATTAATTGAATCACAATGGCTCTTATACATAGATCGTTACCGAAGTGATAACTGCAGTTTGATGCACTTGGACGTTTTGCCTAGTATAATTGCATCGTAGTGCTAATTGAACAATACACTGTAAAAAATAAAATGGTAATTTTAATTCAAAGACGTTGAGTGGATTTTCTGAGACACGCAAAAATGTTAAAATCAACATTATTGTGTTAATGTTAACATTTTTGCGTGTCTCAGAACATCCACTCAACGTCTTTGAGTTAAAATTAACATTTTATTTTTTACAGTGTAACACTAACAAAAATTTTTTTTTCAATCACTTTGGATCGGACTACGTGTGTCTTATAGATTTTTGGATGCTGAAAACGATGCCGCAAGTAAAAAAAGGTTAACGTTATCTTGAAATTTCGAGAAATCATGAATATATTGTTCATCCCCTATAAAATGCATTTTTTTTATTTTAATACCTTCTAAGCCATGTTATGTTAAGGATTAAAGATGCTGAAGTGATACCTCCGCGTGGTACAAGATGGGTAACGTTAAAATCACTTCAAACAACGCGCATACACACACATAGAGAGAGTGGGGGGGGGGGGGGGAGGAAGAGAGAGTTGTTTAATGAACGATATGTATAGTTGCATATTACAAATTGCATTTTTTTTGAAAGCAACTATGTATTTTCATTACACCAATGGATCAGTCTTATCATTCTGTACACAAAAGTATTAAGATACAGCTATCAAAATGGTCAAATTTTCAATTCAAATTGAAATGGTCAAAACTCGAAATAGTTCCTATCTTTAATCGTTCACAATATGGCTAAAAAATAAGATATTGAAAGAAAAAGAAATGCATTTACATAGGGAATGATCAACACATTTATGACTCCTGATCGAAATTTCAAGATAACGTTAATCTTGTTTATAAAAAAAATGTCAAATATCGCAAAAAACCATCATTTAAGTATTAAACCTCAATTATCTTGGAAATCTGATGTGCTAGAATTTGTTTGCTTGCGGCATCATTTTGAGCATCCAAAAATCTATAAGATACACGTAATCCGGTCCAAAGTAATTTTTTGCTGTAAACTAATATAATCAAACACGACAGCAATTACAAGAAGAGAAAGTAAAAAAAAAAAAACTTTTTTAGGGCGATTTCTCAAGAATGATCGTAAATCGTAATAAGACGCAGGTGTCGCGTAATAACGACGTAAGCCAAATTTCCGCGTTCGTAAGTTGGAATTGTGGATCAATGTCGATTTCACAAAGTTGCGTTACGCAACGGTAAAAATCTCGCCACTGGTAACGAACTGACCGTGGCATATTCGGCAGGAATTCGGGCGTAAGACTGTTCTTAAAATACTTGGACTCGATCGTTGCATAAAGCAGCGCTGGTCGATCGGTAAGATTCGCGGCTATCGGCTTGCGGCAGTTTTGCACGATCGCCTTGCGTAATACGACGACGAGATGGACGACGATAACGATGACGATAAAAAGAAAGAGAGAAAAGGCGAGATAGGACAGGAGAGAAAGAGAGCAATGACTCTCGTGTGGAACCCTTTGGGACTCGGTCGAGACGGTTAGCAGCCGCGCCGCGAGAGAGAGAGAGAGAGGGATGAGAGGGAGGGAGGGAGGGAGGGAGGGAGAGGTACCGTGGGAAGAGCGAGCGATATGCATACCCAATGACCGGATGACCTTCGCTCGTTGCATAAAGATGCCTTTAATTGACGGCGCGCGCGAAAACACGTTCGGCACGGCATGGCTCGGCGACGCTCGATAAAGCCGAATGAGCGGGAGAACGAGAGCTGCTGAACCACCTCGATGGGACACTTAATTTGTTTAAAGCGGTAGACGAAAGCGACGTGTACGTGGCTTTAATTTAGGGCCTGGCAAACAGCCGAATCGGTCGATGGCTAATTTATCACGTTCGCGTAATATGTAGCAGAAAGCGAAACGGCGATTCGATAATTGCGACGTATACTTGGTATAAAGTATTTATCGGATGTTTAAACCGATACGGTGGTTGCTTCGGCTATGTATGATATATGCCAGTGACGTCAGAAGCGAGGAATTGTATCGGATACATGCTGTTTTAAAAGAGAGTATAAAAAAAATGGAGAATAATTTTAATATAAGTACAAGTCGTAACGAAACACTGAATGACTTATTGTTAGTCGGTAGAAAGCATCGTAAAAATGAAATTATAACTAATATACCGATGAGAATAAGCCATTTTCGGTCAAACTGGATGTTAAATGCTTCTATTAGAATTTTCGTGTGAATTTTTATATACTACGATGTAGATCTCTAAATGCGCGCCGAAATTTTTTCAGACTTACAACGTAAACTAATGAGCATAAAAAATTGTTAATTTAACTCGTGGTAGTACTGTGGTAGTTCATTAGTTGTAAGTCTGAAAAAATTTTGGTGCGCATTTAGGGATCTACATCGTAGTATATAAATTCACACGAACATTATAATAGAAGCATTCAATATTCAGCTTGACCGTAAATGGCTTATTCTCATCGGCGTTTGAAATGTCATGGTCTAAATAAGAAATTATAACTATTGTAATTTTATTTATAATTTTATTCCATTAATCTTTAGATGGATTAAAGTTTGTTTCTAATTTTGCAATTTTGCCCCTTGAGTAAAATTTACTATAATTCATTATTTCATTATATTTTTCACCTCAAAATGTGATATTGTTTCAACGCCATCGTATAGCGACTTTCCCGTTTTGTGAAGGCTAACAAAGATAGATGATAAAAAGATATTATTTAAAATGTACTAAGAAGTATAGTAGTTTTATATACAAATGGTAAAAGTAAAAGTGTAGCGACTGTTTATGTAAATAACTTTTATATCATTAGAAATAAAATGCGAAAAAAAGAGACATGTCCCAGCGTTACTCTTGTAACTTTACGTAAAGTTATTGTTCTAGGTGTGTTTTCTTTTCCAACGAAATAATAATTTTCGCAGAGGTTGACGCAATTTACTCTCTCTCTCTCTCTCTCTCTCTCTCTCTGTGCAATCCTCTCGAGTGCCTTCTATTTTATTATCGTGTTGTTCCGTACGAAACGAAATCGCGCGAGATTAATTGACGGTGTCGCGTCTTATCGCTAGCCGTAAACTCCGCCGGCTATTTATCACAGAGGACGCGTCTCCTCCCTTTGTTTCATGGTTGGGAGCAGGAAGCGGATCACTGCCAGCAAGCCCAGCGGACAGCGGAGTCAGCGACGTCGAGTCCAGCACGTCCTCCGGTGGCAACGAGGACGCGAATCTCTTACTGAAAGCAAGACTCAATCCTAATTCGTCCCTTCAGCCGAGTCTGGCGTCCCATCACTCCCATTTGTCGTCAGGTGAGCTCGATCTTTATTTATTTTGCGCATTCACGCATTTAACATGTGTGAACGAAATGAAAGAAAAGTCTGAAATGTTAAACAAAAAAAAATTTTAATAATGATTAATACTTTCACGAAAAATTCTTTATTTTTCTTCTTTCGCCAAGTTTGTAAATTTGAAAAATTTTTGATTAAGAAATATATTTATCAATATATATATAACAATTAAAGAGATAACTAAGATTCACCCAATTTTTACAAATTAATTTTGTTAATTGAGCAATTCTCTTTCAAGGAGATTAAGTTCACCATAAGCGATATTAAATTTACACACACACACACACACACACACACACACACACACACACACATGTGTATAATATTTACAGTATTAAATCTTTCTAACACCATATAAATTTTAATTATTTTTGGAGACAACCCGTTATAAATTTAATTACAAAAAATAAACAATTTTTAAGTAATATATAGACGTATTTGTTTATCTATACGGAAAATTTAATCGTTATTGTAATATTATCTAGATTCTGAATCAAATATGACAAAGAGAGAATTTAATTTTTGATCGAAAGATTTTGCTTGTAATAGTATGTAATAGTATACATACAATAATATGTAATAGTATATATGTAATATAGCTTAATAATATTGAATTTATGTAGATTTATAAATGTTCGCTTTTATTTGCATTTTCTATACTTGTAATTTTTGTTTTTAATTGTAAATACTAAATATTTCAAAGAAATATATGATTTAACGTAAAAATACTTTTGTACATGATAGATTGTTTTAGAGTATTTAGAGTAAGATTGATGGATTGGGATTAACTTGAAAGTTCCGAAAAGAAGGAATTTGAAAAAAATATTGTACATTTTCGAAATATTATACTCTCTTCTTTATTGAGCGCCTCTTATTGATAGCAGCACTCGGCAGATCGGCCTGCCATAGCCCTGGTGTGTATCCGGGGTCGACGGCAAGCTTCCTGTCGCCCACCTATCATCCTCATCAGCATCCTATCACCTCTCAGTATCATCCACATCGGGGGAGTTCGCCACACCATCAGCATAACAACCATACTATGGGTCCGACGATGGGACCGCCCCATCACCACCATCATCATCAAGCGCAGGGTCTCCAGCATCACTTGCATTACCGTCAGCCATCCTCACGTAAGTTCTCAAACTCTAATTTATTACAACGACGTAATTGGCGGAATTAGCGAACTTTGCTGGGAAAATCTCCCCGAGAATCCTCGACGAATTCGAACAATAAGCGGATAATAACAGATCATGCTTGGTTAATGTGTGGACGATTAAAATTCCGGCGTTGTGAAAATATGAAAATTAAAGAAAAAAATCGATCGAGAGAAACAGCAAACTGAGATTTCGAAATTTTACCCTTTACTTCAGAGGAACCGGATAGCAATCTGCCGACTCGGATTTCATGCTAGACTTGCAATGAGGGCCTTTTCTTTGACCTCGTTTACTTATCGGCAATTTCGACGATAGTAATGTATCTCTGTTCTCATCATACGATCGATCGGCGCGGCGGTCGGCAAGAGGAAGAGATAGGAAAGCGCGGGGAACGGAGGAGGATGAATACTCGATGAAACAGTGATTTCGATATCTCGCGGTGGCATCTGGATCGTCATGACGTAATGCGACGCGGTAACCCGTACAGTTTATTTCGACTTCGTAGATATCGATTCGATTGCCGTCGACCAACCAAACGCAGACTATTTTCACCTTTGACGAATAACTACGCATGCAATCGATCGATCTTTTACGATCGAGTCTACAGATTTATTCGTGCTGCTTAAAGTCGCTAAAAGTTTTTCTATTTAAAATGAGATAAGCAAGATAAAAAGGTACTCAGTTATTGGAAAGTGAGAAAGTTAAGATTCTGAGTGCACAAGAAGTGCAAGCAACATGAAGAGGCCTTGTGATTTAGTGATATCTATGTATACTATGTATATCGTGTTTTCCTATCACTTTTCACGAATAGTGAGATAGATAAATTTATAGTCGCGAGAGTTTATCTTTCCGTGTATATTTATATACATAATGCACGCGCGGAATCGAAAATAAAAAAATATTGCATTGCCAAAATTAATGAAAGAAAAGATGTATATTTTTGAAGTATGATAAAACAAATTGTGAAAAATTTGAAGATATATGTAAAATAAAAACATAGGAGTGACATTTTTATTGTTACATCTGTGACCCTATAGAATACTATAATTCGAAATAAAATTATCACGAGTAAGATATAGACAAATATTGATTACTTCGCTGAGATGACTTAAATATTTTTACTTTTTTTTTATTTTTAAAACAAGTGGATAAATTTTCACATATCAATTGCGCTATTTAGGAGATGTTAAATCGCTGACACTTTTATTTCACTTTCTGCCATAATGGAATAATAAAGGAAGACTTTATATTGTTTTCTCATATTGTATGAAATGAGACATCAATAAATATTGTATTTATTGTTTAAATAGCCATAAATACGACTATATATAAAACATCAATACTTTACAGTTTTAATCTAGTAGACGAGAAAGTGATAAAGGAATTAGAACGTAAATCCGCGATTTCAAAGACGATGCTGTCACGGGACAGAAGAAGTTGGGTCGAGTTTCTCGTCGAGCGTCGTGTGAAGGCAGGAAGCGTCTAAGACTAGAGAAGGACTTCCTTCGACGCGACCAAGATGCCAAGTGAAAGGATTCGCCTGTTGCCGCGGAGAAGGTGGAAAAAAGCAATCTCACGAGCATCGTCGTCGTCGTCGTCGTCGTCGTTGCAGTCGCTGTCGTTGTCAACGACGACGTCGACACCTCCGGAGCGCGACTCGTCTCGTTCTCGTGACCTACTTGCCGTTCTCCGATTCGACGGCCCAGATTCGTTTCCTGCCACCGAAGCATTTCCGTCTACACTCTCGCATCTTGACAGACTGACACGCAGTTTTCTCCTTCGATACTTACTATCTCCGTAGAGAAATAATAGATATTCTTTTTATCATAAATTTCTTTTAGACAATGTAAAAATTCTTTTGTTAATTATCAACTATTTTCAAACTTTTCAAATTAAAATTCTGTCAAAGTAAGGCCCACTCAAAATTTTGGCTAAGAAGATTGATTTATATTTACTTGTACATTAAACTAATAAATATAGTTATTGTAATTATTACACGAAACAATAATTTTACTAAAGTATCTAAAAATTTAACTAGATTGGTAGATCTGAAAGTAATTTTGTTTGGACCATTACAATACTAATTATATAAGACGCTTAAACTTGTTGTTAGAATGTTAAAAAGCATTGGAACTATATGCGACAATGTCATCAACGTTTAAGCGTTCTGTTTAATTATTTTGATATTTTGGGTCAACCAAATTATTTTTGGATCTGTATCCAATTAAATTTTTAGTTACTTTAGCAATTCTTTTCATGCATAATTAAACTTTAACTTATATACATAGTTATTTTTGTGCCAACTATTTTTTAAGTAAAACTAAAAGTATAATTATATCTAATAAGTAGAAATATAAGTGCATATAATTACTATTATATCAATTATCACTAACATTATAGTAATTATAAAAATGGAGCTTTTTCCTGTAATTATTTTATATTTTATTATGCAATTATACTCACAAACGCTAAACATTTTTTCCTAGTATATCTTTCGAATTTAGCTCATTCAAATTCGACAAGTCATCTGAAGCAAAGTACAAAAATCACAAATGTCTGTAGAATTGCTGTCGCAATTTAAAAGTAGATTTTTGATGTTGAAAGTAAGCGTAATCCTCAATTCTAAAGAGACTCAATTCTAAACATAAAAATTTAGCCTACTCTAATGAGGTTTTGAAAGAGGTTGCGCTCTAAGATTAAGCATGTCAGTGATCCTCAAATTGGGGACGTCGCGAAATAAACATTTTGTGAATTGCGGATACTTGTGCATGGCGTTTGGTTTTTACCGATTCACCGACGTCAGGGGTGTAGGTATTTTAGTCCAACTTGTCGCAGGAATTAATTAGACGTAGACGATGTGGGTCAGTCGCGCAAAATATATAAATTAATCAGAACGCAATCGACGAGTCAGGAAATTTCTCGACTGCGATCTTGCAGCATGGATCTCTTCTTTATCGCCATTAAAAGCGAGTACGACGCGGGATCGGCAGCTGATCTTCAATGAGCGCACCTGGCGCCGCGCCGCAAAGACAGTCGCGTTCTCGGTGCGGCACGGCGCGGCGCGGCGCGGCGCGGCGCGGCGCGGCGCCAAGGTTGATTTCTTGACGGGCCTCGGTTCGAGGTGAAAAGCGCTTCGGTGTACAATCGCGGTGAAATTCTCTGCGTGCGAGCGTGGAGTATCAATTATCGTAGCGAAAAGAAAATAGAAGAAAGACTAGGTATAGGCGGACATGTGCACGTCGAGCGGAAGCGGCAACGTTCGTTGCGTTTTATTATCATCGCAGGCCACAATTCCCACTGCTACGTTGTCGACAATGAGATCGAACTTTCTTTAATTGAAAATATCCCGCGAGCTAGTGCGCGAGACTACATCTTTAACCTCGTTTTTACAACACGCCCGACCATTTTCATTGGAGTAGGTAATGATCGTCGTTTACTCGACCGTAAATTGCGGCCACTCGAAATATGATATTAAGACATCGCCTTAATGAAAATTTCCGTAACTCAGAATGAGTTTGCTCGCGTATGTCGATAATATTATAATTTTACGGTTAGCCCGTAAAATTTTGCAAGAAATGCCGTGGAAACGCGAGCTTGATCATAATTTTAATATTTGCATGAAATTTAGCGTTATTGTGCTTTCCCGATTGAAATATAGATATAAATTGAGATAAAAATCAAATGTTTCTGAAAATAGTTTAATTTTATTAAAGAAAAAACAATTTTTTCACTGAAATAAAGTTATTTAAAAATCTAGCTAGATACAGATCTGAAAATAATTTTGTTCGTACCACTAAAATAATTTGATATGTAGGATGCTTAAACTAATTACTAGAATGTTGAAATTTTTTTTGTATAGCATTATCGGCAGCGCTCTTAAATATTCTACATAATTATTTTTATAATGAAATTTATAATTATAAAAATTTATAAAAATTATTTTCATCCAACATAATCATTTTCAATTCTATCTTCATCTAGATATGAAGTATCTAGCTATATGTTTAGATACTTCAGTAAAATCGTTCTTTTCAACTTTATTATAGATAAGATACTAGTAAATATTTATTTAAGATAAGAGAGAAAATAGGTACGTAAGCGTATGAAAATGTTTTTTTCTTACTCTCTTTCGTTTTTTTTTTTTAATGAAAAAAGAACGCTATCATCTGTAAAACATTTGGAAAGTAAGGGATAAAAATGCTGTAACGACACTGCGCCTATACCCAAGCACGCTCGACGAACTGCCGCGCCGCACTCCGAGTAAAAGTGTGCCAGATTGTATAATCGAACGTGAATAAGCAAAATGTTACGCCATAGCGATTTGGTAACGTCGTCAGGTCTCCCTTCCTAAGAACCTCGTCCGAAAGGCACGGCCGTGTTCTCATTGCGGTAGGCACAACAGTCCGCGAACGAGAAAAAATTCAACCTGTCAAGGGTCATGCGATTCGATACCGGATGTGTATACAAAATTACGTGTAATAAAGTAGTATTTTCCATAAGAGAATTTTTTTAGCAATTGTCTCCTCATCCAAGCTGAAATTGAGAAGTTAATAATTTTGAAAAAAATTAAATTCTGATGGAATCAACAAAATCTCTCTCATGCGCTTGTTAACTTTACAACTTACCTACACATTAATATATATCATATATCTTTTTTTTATTTAGGTTAGCTCAGTTACTTTTGACAGATTTCTTAAATTCTCATCAAGAATAAAGTATCGATTTCCAGTTTGATTATCAAAATATTTGGTGAGAAATTTTTAAAAAGAAGTAATGAATACACTGTAAATTCATCTTTTAATTTTTACTTGGACTTAATTTGCATTCTGGTTGCAAACTGATGTTTAATTAACTATCATGATCACATACTGAGTTTTATCTGTGCAGAAATACAATTAATAATACTATGAGAAGTTTTATACGTCTTATTCATGAGAGAGATATTATATATATTGTATAACTAGAGATATTACGGT